GGTCTCGAACTCCTGGCCTCATGATCCATCCACCTCGGCTTCCCAAAGTGCTGGGATTACAGGCGTGAGCCACCATGCCTGGCCTAAATGAAGCTTTTTAATTATTATTTTCAGATCTAGGTTTAGCAGAGAGAGAGAGAGAAAAAAAAAAAAAAAAAAACTATCCTGAATCCAGCACAGAGAAAAAAGAAAACGGAAAATATAGAGAGCGTAAGCTATAATGGACAAATAAAAAGATCTAACATGCTAATTAGAGTCCTAGAACAAATAGAATAAAGAGAATCGAAGAGATTCAGTATTTAAGGAAATAATGGGTCAGCATATTCAAGAGCTAAAGAAAATCATGATTTGACAATATAGAAAGCAATATATATCAAGCTAGATTTTAAAAGTATATCTAGAGACATTATAGAGAAATTGGAGAATACTTAAGACCAAGAGATCTTAAAAGCAGAGCTAAGACAGAACAGCCATTGCAGAGCACTCTTTTTAGAAGCAAGAGGGCACCGTTACACTGGCAGTAAACCTCTCAATAGCAGCAGTAGAAGCCAGAAGACAATAAAACATCTGCCGAAAGAAAATGTCAATTGAAAGTCATGCTCTCTGCACAGCTAAAGTTCAAAAATGAGGGCAAAATGAAGGTACTGTCATTCAAACAAATGGAGAGAATTTATGGAACAGCAGGACAACACCCAGGGAGCTCCTAAATGGTGGACTTTAGAAAGAAGGAAAGCAATCCCAACAGGCAGGAGGATGAAAGGAGGAATCATGAGCAAATGAATTGGTAAACATGTAGATAACTAAAATCTAAATAGTGTCTATAAGGAATGTTGATGTGTAAATTTTGAGGATTGGTGTGTTGCAGTGGCTCGTGCCTGTGGTCCTAGCTACTTGGGAGGTTGAGGGAGGAGGATCGCTAGAGCCCAAGAGTTCAAGGTTGCAGTAAGCTATGAGTGCGCCACTGCACTCCAGCCTAGGGGACAGATGGAGAACCCGTCTCTAAAAATAATACAAATAAAAATTTACAATAAATAAATTATAGTGATTAACAAAAGGACAGCTAAAATACTGGATAACAGCATGTAGTTTGGGAGGAGATGAACAGAGTTAATGTTTATACATCCTCATATTTTTCAGTATAGAGAATGATTAAGAGAAAATGAGTGTATAATGTCTAAAACAGTACAAGATCAAGCAAGTAGTAAAACTCAATTTTTTAAAAAGCAAGGAAAAAATGGTTAGAAAAAGCAAGTCAAATAAGCCTAAATCAGAGGATAGAAATAAGTCTAAATAAATCAGTAATGACTCTCTATAAATAGACCAAACCATCAGTTCAAAGACAGATTATAAAATTGAATTTTTAAATGTAAAAAACTAGAAACTATATGAGACATATTTTTTAAATGACACCAAAAAGTTTAAAAGGAAGAGAAAATATGCTACACGGAAGTTAACCAGAAGAAAGCTGGGATCAGAAAAATAATGAACTGTCGAAAAAGTAATATTGGGGATGGAGAAGGCTACTTTGTAATAATAAAAGATTCAGTTCAATAGTAGGTAATTCTAAATCAATATGCATCTAATAAAGAGTATAAATAAAACTGATATAATCATAGGGAGAAGTTGACTAATCCACCTTTATATAGTGGGAGATTCCAACACATTGTTCTCAGTTTTTTTTTTTTTCGACACAGAGTCTCACTCTGTTATCCAGGCTGGAGTGCAGCGGTGCGAGCTCAGCTTACGGCAACCTCCACCTGCTGGATTCAAGCAATTCTCCTGCCTCAGCCTCCCGAGTAGCTGCAGGCACCCACCACCATGCCTGGCTAATTTTTTTCTATTTTTAGTAGAGGCAGGGTTTCACCATGCTGGCCAGGCTGGTCTCCTAACCTTGTGATCCACCCACCTTGGCCTCCCAAAGTGCTAGGATTACAGGTGTGAGCCACAGCACCCAGCCTGTTCTCAATTATTGATAGGTCAAGCAGACAAAAAAAAAAAATTCAGAGCCAAGTGAGGTGGTGCACGTCTGTAGTCCCAGCTATTTGGGAGGCTAAGGCAGAGGATTGCTTTAGTCCAGGGGTTCGAGGCTGCAGCGTGCTATGATAACTCCTGTGAATAGTCACTGAACTGCAGCCTGAGCAACATACTGAGACCCTGTCTCCGAAAAAAGAAAAAAACAATTAGAAAATGGAGGATTTAGGCCAGGCACAGTGGCTCAAGCCTGTAATCCTAGCACCTTGGGAGGCCAAGGGGTAGATCATGAGGTCAGAGATTGAGACCATCCTGACGAACACAGTGAAACCCCATCTCTACTAGAAATACAAAAGATTAGCTGGATATGGTGGCACACGCCTGTAATCCCAGCTACTCGGGAGGCTGAGGCAGGAGAATCGCTTGAACCCAGGAGGCAGAGGTTGCAGTGAACCGAGATCGCACCACTGCACTTAGCCTGGGTGACAGAACAAGACTCCATCTCAAAAAAAAAAAGAAAAAAGAAAAAAGAAAATGGAGAATTTAAACACCACAACACAAGATAACAAGTATGGTTTATTAGACAAACATAGAACTCTCCAATAATTAGAGAACAGCACACTTTCTTTTTCCCAGCACACATTTGCAAAAATTGATCATGTATTGGCTTATAAATTAAGTCTCAATAGATTTTACAGAATCAGAACCTTACAAGCCACTGTTCTGGCCACAATGAACTTGAGGTAAAAAAATAAAAGAACTTTTTAAAAAAAAACTATAGTAAATTAGAGTAACATTAGCTAGGGTAACTCCTACATCTCACTACTTTAAACCTATAGGCTTTTTTGGTTTACCTAATAGTCCCATGTGGTTATCCTGGTCAGTGAGGGTTTTACCCCCGTGAAGTGATTGAGAGACCCAAGCTCGTTTCAGAGTGAGACTCCTCCTTCCTCTTAGAGTCTCAGTGTCTTCTTTACCCAACTATTCAGGCTTTCTAATAGTTTTATTCTTAATTTTAATAAATTTTTGAAATTTTTTCTATTTCATCTGCATTTTCAAATGTATTGACATAAAGTTATTCATAATCACAATATTCTCAATTTTTTAAAAAATTCAGCTAAATCTATATTCTTTTTGACCCCAATAGTATTTATGTATGCTGTTTCTCATTGTCTTGATCTATCTTGCCAGAGATTATTAGTCTTTTCAAAGAGTTATCTTTTGGCTTTGTTATGCCTTTCTGGTGTGTGTGTGTGTGTGTGTGTGTAGACATATATAAACATAATAAAAGAAATTTTTTTCTTTTTAAATGTTGCTTTTATCTTTGTTATCACTTTTCTGCCTCTAATACAAATCTAATTAAGTGTTCTAGCTAAATGAAGGAAAACAAGCTAAAGCCAGTTTCCTGTCCCAACCAAATTGATCTGTGCCTAAATATTAGTTACATTTAGAAAATTATGCTCTATAGTTGTTAACATTATTTTGTATTTTCTGAAACATTTTCTGTTAGTCTCTTTACTAGTCTAGGACTTTCTGTTACAAGGGCAACTCTTAACTCTCACTAGCTTAAGCAAAAAAGGGAACATATTGGCTTGTATGGTTGAGAAGGCAGGTGTTGCTGAGAGCAGGTATTCAGTGATGTCATTAGGAGTCTCAGCCACATTTTCTTCTAGATCTGCTTCATCCTCCCATAGCCTTTCCCAGTGTAGTGGCACAATGGCCACCAGCCAGGCCAGCCAGCCTTGTGTCTTGTGAGCCTAGCACCTCAGAGAAAAAGAACCCAGCCCAAGGGCTCCAGCACAAGTTCCAGGATTGACTGTTTCAGCCTGTGCCCACCCCCATAACTGGTCACTGTGTGTATGTGGAGTGGGGGGATCATTATTCAATGCCAGTCAACCTGCATGGGCTAAGAATGGGGGAGAGGTGGTTCCCTAACAAAACGGGTGCATGAGTGTATCAAAGAGAGAGAGATGAAGAGAATGAAGGGAGGGTAGGGGGTGGATAAATGAAGAGAGTCATGTTAGTAGAAAAGGGAGATGCTGGGCTGATGAGAACACCTGATGTCCCCTGGTTCTTAGTAAATGTTGAATTGGCTCAACAAAAGAGCAAAGGAAAAGCTAATGGGAGTGGAAGTATTAAAAGGTCATTGAAAGGAAAACTGGGCAGAGAGATCATCACAGTGATAACTTCCTTCCTACCTGGAGTAGTTCCATCATCTGCTGGGTAGTACCATAGGAGCATGAAACACATTTCCGTGCTCTACCTTCTGTTTCAACCAACTGAAATTTCAGCTTTAAAGAGATAGCCTTTTCATTGTGATATGTATCTCCAGGATTCCTAGAAACGTCTGTAGCCACTAGTCACATGTAGCTATTTAAAGTTAAGTATAAATTAATTCAAATTAAATAAATTTAAGGACTCAACTTCTCAGTTATGCTAGCCACATTTCAAGTGCTCATTAGGCACATGTGGCTACCATATTGGATAGCTCAGATATGGAACATTTGTATCATCACAGAAAGTTCTATTGGACAGTACTGACTTAGAGCAGTAAGCTGTTACCAGCAATTTGTTGTTATTAGGTGTCTGTCTAGTGACCATTACTCAGAATTGGATGAGAAATGTTGATTATGACAGAAGAAATGAGAGAAGCTGCCTGGGACCATCTGTTGGCCCTGTTTTCACTTCTTTAAAGGATTTCAGCTCCCTTAGGACTTTGCAGTGGATCTCCAGATGGGATAGTGTCTGCCATCACAGATCTGGAATTCCTGGTGATCCCTTTGAAACAAGCCCAGAGAGACATCCAGGGACTGTAGCCCAGGAGCCACCTGAGAGCAGTGGTGCTTGGGAGAAGGGGAGCTTGAGAGGCTCTTGGTGTCAGAGCCCTTGAGGAATGTATTGTTTAAGGCAGTCAATACTCATTGTCAGGTGTCATAAATGTCTACCCCTTGTCATGTACTTGATGATCTTTTAATGTTACATAAGTCAGATAAAAACTGATTTTTTTCCTTTTTCTTTTTATTCTGCAGACCTATCCCTCTTTGCTCTGTTGTTATGATAAATAGCCAACTTGATAAAGTTGAAGGAAGGAAATTTTTTGTTTCCTGTAATGTTCAGAGTGTTGATGAGCAGACCCTATACTCAGAGGCAACAAGTAAGAAGCTGGTCTTATCTCTTTCTTGGAGTTTAGTTGGGTTGGGTTGGGAGTTTTGGTTGATTTGGGTTTTGTGGGGGTCAGGGGGGTGTTTTGGTTTGGTTTGGTTTTTTGCCCGGGTATGATAACCCACACATGCCAAAAAATTCTTAATTCCTTGTCATGCAAAGAACGAGTTAAGGATATTCTTATACATCGCTAGTAAAGGGCGAGTTGCCAACATCTATCAAAATTACAGCCCAATGCAGAAGCTCATGCCTGTAGTCCCAGCACTTTGGTAGGCTGAGGTGGAAGGATCACTTGAGCCCAGGAGTTCGAGACCAGCCTTGGCCACATGGCAAGACCCCATCTTTACAAAAAACACAAAAAATTAGCTGGGTGTGGTGGTGTGCGCCTGTAGTCCCAGCTACTTGGGAGACTGAGGTAGGAGGATCCCTTGAGCCCAGGAGACGGAGGTTGCAGTGAGCTGAGATCGCACCTCTCTGCACTGCAGCCTGGGTGACAGAGCCAGACCTTGTCTCAAAAAAAAAAATTTACAAAGTGATGTGTCCTTTAACCCCCCTCCAGGACTTTATCTCACAGGTATAATAACTGCAAAATTATAATGTGTTAGATTGCTATCAGGTTCCAGTGATTGTGTCACTCATGCAACATTATTTGCAATAGCAAAAAAAACAAAAATGGCAAAACATGGCAAACATAGCTATCCATCAATAGGAGACTGGTTAAAGAACTACAGCTCACCTATAAACTATATTGTATGTATGTGCCATTAAAAAATGGTGAAATATTGTGATGCCATAAATAAGAAAAATATGTCTATACTTATGTGTGTGTAGACTGTCCCAGGAAAATCACACACATGACCTGTTACTTCCCAGGAGTACTGAGGTTCATCCATGTTGTTGACTGTGTTCACTTGTTTGTACCACTGTGTAATACTCCACGTGTGACTATCCCACAATGAATGTCTCTCTTCCGATGACAGGCCTCTGACTATTACCAACAGGGCTGCTATAAACATTCTTGTTCATGTCTCCTGGTGGTGTGCATGGGCAAGAGCTTGGCATATACTTAGGAATAGGATTTCTGGGTGGTAGAGTATCACGAGTGTTCAGCTTTACAGAGGAATGCAAAATTGTTTTCTAAGCCTGTACCAAATTAAACTCCCACCAGCAATATATGAGATTCTTTTAGATTCCCATCTTCTCTAGCAATTAGTGAAGTCAGACTTCATTGTTTTTGCCAGTCAAATGATTATAAAATGACTTCTCGGTGTGATCTTGATTTGCATTTCTCTGATTACCTGTGTGGTTGAGTGTCTCTTCATATGTTTATTGACCATATTTTTTCCCATTCTGTGAAATTTTTGTTTGTTTAGCTTTTTTTGTATTTCTCATTTTCTTACTGATTTATAGATATTCTTCGTATATTTTATATCAGAACAATTTTTTTTTGTTGGATATATAAGTCGCACATACCTCCTTATGGTGTGTAAGTTGTCTTTTATTTGCTTTAAGGTATCTTCTTTATGAACAGAAGTTTTTAATGTCAGTTTAGTTGCATTTATTACATTTTTCCCTTTATGGCTAATGCTTTTTGTATCTTGTTTAAGAAATTTATTTTTCCTCTTAAGTATGAAGCATTTGCAGGAATGACGGATAAAAGGAGCAGGTGAAAAATAATAATTTAAATCCACAGTCAATTTAGGAACTCCATTCCAGGCTGTGGTTTATACTTCCTGTCTCACTAAACCTTTCAATATCATAAAGGTGCCAAATGGCTCTCTTGTAATTTTAGTTCTTTTCATTTCCCTGACTATCTCTAATGGAAGTAGTAATGAACCATGAAATGGCCAAGTGGTGAGGACCTGGTTACCCAGGGAGAGGTAATACAGTATTGTGATAGTCAAAAGTTGATTCTTAATTTGGCTGCAAAATGAGAGTGGACAGATAGACTGAAGGGACAAATGTGAATCTAATCCCTCTTTTGTATATGTCTTTCCATTTAGAGTAGTCCATCAGATTGAAGTCAGTTGACAAATAATCATCTGCTGTTATTTTGTTTGTTTAGGCATATTTATAAAGCTGAATCCTGCTAAGAGTCTGACATAAAGAGCTGCTGTTGAACTCCATCCCATTCTCTCCCCTCCAGAAGAAGCAGTTGTCCCCCGAATACTCTGCTTCCTCACTGCTGAATCCTCGTAGGGAGAAGCCTGCCAACAGTGACCTTCCAAAACAGCCAAAAAGGTGTTAGCATTCAGAATATATAAGGAATTCTTACAACTCAACAAAGAACCCAGTTTAAAAATGGGCAAAGAACTTGAATGGACATTTCTCCAAAGAAGATATGGAAATGGCTAACAAGTATATGAAAAGATCCTCAACATCACTAATCATTAGAAAAATGCAAATCAAAACCACAATGATCACACCTACTAAAATGCCTATAATTTTTTAATTTTATTATTATAATTATTTTGAGGTGGAGTTTCGCTCTTGTTGCCTAGGTTGGAATGCAATGGCGCGACCTGGGCTCACTGCAACCTCCGCCTCCCAGGTTCAAGTGATTCTCCTGCCTCAGCCTCCTGAGTAACTGAGATTACAGGCACCCACCACCACACCTGGCTAATTTTTTGGTGTATCTTTAGTAGAGATGGGGTTTCACCATGTTGGCCAGGCTAATCTATAATTTTTTATTTTTGAAAATAGTGTCAAGGAGGATGTAAAAAAAAATAGAAACTTCATACATTGCTGGGTGAATACAAAATAGTGCAGCTGCTACAGAAAAGTTTGGCAGTTCCCCAAAAAGTTACCATATGACCCAGCAATTCCACTGCTAGGTGTAAATACATGAGAAATGAAACATACATCCACACAGAAGCTTGTACACTAGTGTTTATAATAGCATTATTTGTAATAGCCAAAATGTGGAAACAACCCAAATGGCCATTAATCAATGAATGGATAAACAAATTGTGGTACACACACACACACATACATACATATAATAGACTATTATTCAGCCATACAAAGGAATGAAATACTGAAACATGCTGCAGCTTGGATAAACCTCAAAAGCATCACATTAAGTGAAAGAAAACAATACTATGTTTAGAATAGGCAACTCCATAGAGACAGAAAGTGGATTAGTGATTAATATGGTTTGGCTGTGTTCCCACCCAAAATCTCATCTTGAATTGTAATCCAAATTGTAATCCCCATGTGTTGGGGGCAGGACCTTGTGGGAGGTGATTAGATCATGGGGGTGGTTCCCGCATGCTGTTACAGTGGTAGTGAGTGCATTCTCATGAGATCTGATGGTTTTATAAAGGGCTTTTCCCCGCTTTGCTCAGCACTTCTCCCTCCTGCTGCTGTGTCAGGAAGGATATGTTTTCTTTCCTTTTTGCCATGATTGTAAATCTCCTGTGTCCTCCCCAGCCATGCAGAACTGTGAGTCAATTAAACCTCTTTCCTTTAGAAATTTACCCAGTCTCGGGCAATTCATAGCAGTGTGAGAATGGACTAATGCAGTGCTTGCTAGGGGAATGAGGGTGGTGGGCATGGAGGAGAGAACAGGAAGTGATTCAAGTGATTACTTACAGTACCGTTTTTCTAGGGTGATAAAGAAGTTTTAAAACTAGAGAAAGGTGGTAGTTACACAACATTGTGAATGTACTAAATGCCAATGAGTTGTACATTTTTAAATGATTAGGTTGAGGGTGGTGACTCATGCCTGTAGTCTTAGCACTTTGGGAGGCCAAGGCAGGAGGATCCCTTGAAACCAGGAGTTCAAGACCAGCCCAGTCAACATGGCAAACCCCATTTCTACAAAAGAAAAATTTTGAAAATTAGCCAGGCATGGTGACGGGTGCCTGTAGTTCCAGCTACTTGGGAGGCTGAAGTGGAAGGATTGCTTGAGCCCAGGAGTTCTTGGTTGCAGTGAGCTATGAACATGCCGTTGCAGTCCAACCTGGGCAACAGAGCAAGACCCTGTCTCAAAAATAATAAGAATAATAATCAGAAATTGGAACCCTCATACATTGCTGGTTGGAATGCAAAATGATGCAACCATTCTGGCAGTTCCTCCAAAAGCTAAACAGAATTACCCAGCAATTCTAGTGGTAGGCTTATACCCAAAGGAACTGAAAAGAGGGATTCCAACAGATCGTTGTACTTCAGTGTTCATTGCAGAATTATTCATAATAGCCAAAAAGTAGAAACAACCCAAAATGTCTACCTACAGATGAGCAGATAAACATAATGTGATATATACATACAATAGAATATGATTCAGCCATAAAGAGGAATGAAGTTCTGATACATGCTACAATATGGATTAACCTTGAACACATTATGCTAGTGAAATAAGATTTTAAAAGGACAAATATTGTGTGATTCTATTTAAATGAAATATCTAGCATAAGCAAAATTGTAGAAAATATATTAGAGGTTACCGGGGGAGGGGAGTGGCAGGAATGGGGAGTTATTGTTTAATAGGTACAGAGTTGGGATGATTACGTTTAGGAAATAGTGGTAATGGTTGTACAATATTGTGAATGTAATTCCTGCCACTGAATTGTACACTTAAAAGTGGTTAAAATGGCAAATTTTATGTTACATATATTTTACCACAACTTCAGAAGGTTATTGTAATTTACCAAAAACCATTGAATTGTACACTTTAAATGTGTAAATTGTGTATTATATGAATTTTATCAAAACAAAGCTATTTAAAAAAACAAAAAAGATAATACTAAAACTGCAAGTAGAGGCTGGGCACAGTGGCTCACACCTGTAATCCCAGCACTCCAGGAGGCCGAAGCAGGTGGATCACTTGTGGCCAGGAGTTTGAGACCAGCCTGGCCAACGTGGTGAAACCTTGTCTCTACTAAAAATACAAAAATTAGCTGGGCATGGTGACGGGCACCTGTAGTCCCAGCTACTCGGGAGGCTGAGGCAGGAGAATCACTTGAACCCAGGAGATGGAGGTTACAGTGAGCTGAGATCGCGCCACTGCACCCCAGTCTGGGTGACAGAGTCGCAGACCTGAGTCGTCGAAAAAAAGAAAAAGAGAAAAAAAGCAAGTACAAGCCAAACAATAGAATGAGAGAGCAGAGCATGAGGCATTGTACTCGGAACCAGGAGGCCCTTTGCCAGCCACTGTGTTAGCGAGAATATGTAAAACCAGCAACTGACAATGGTTCAATTGATCACGGGGGAGATGCGCTCTCTCTCTGCAGACATCATATACAAGAGCCGTGAAACACTGATTAAGGAGTTTTTTGCGGTGAGTGAGCAGAAAAGTGTGAAAGAGGGTAGGGAGGTGGTGTTGTGGATTGATACGTCACAGAGTAGGAAAACGTTTTAATGTGGTAACAGAGTGTAAGGGTGGTCTGAGGAGAGGCGTTAACAATCTGCGGTGGGGGTGGATATTGTTGTTGTAAAGTGTTTTGTAGGATATGTTTATTCTTAAATGTGAAAGATTGGCCGCACCAGGGACCTGCTTGAAATATAGTAATTTGGTGGAGGGATTCGTGACGGTTCCGGCGAGGGCCTTCCTATAAGCATTGGACCCTTCACGGCACAGAACGTTGTTTTACGCAGGACTGCATGGCCGGACGACTTATCTATTAAACTGCTCGGTAGGGAGAATGGCGTAGCAGTAACAGTGGACGTGCGTGAGCGATGTACTAATTCCCTCCAAGGGATTAACATTTAATTTAACAAGCTAATATAGCCAAAAAGCGTCCTCCGGAACGTGGGACGGACGTGGTGGACCGGACGAGAGCGGACGGGATTTTGAGCACAGGGTCAGGCAGGCCAGATAGTTGGGCCCAGGCGGCTGGGAGTGCCTAGTGAGGGGATGGATGCGATGGGGATGGGATGGATGGGATGGGAGGGGAAGGGGGAGGAAGGAGGGAGGGAGGATGGGGATGGAGGGAGGGAGGGAGGGAGGGATGGAGTGGAGTGGATGGATGGATGGATGGATGGATGGATGGATTTGAGACAGGGTCACACAGTTTGCCCAGGCTGGAGTGCCGTGGCACAATCACAGCTCACTGCAGCCTCAACCACTCGGGCTCAAGTGATCCTCCTACCTCACCCTCCTGGGCTCATCCTCCTTGAGCTCAGGATTTCGAGACTAGCCTGGGCAACATAGCGGAGGCTCCATAGGAGGTGAAAAGATGGCGAAGAGAAGCGATTCACAGTTTTTGGAATGTGTCTAGAAGCACCTAGGTGGAGTGAGGGAGTTGCAGCAGGAGGGAGGAGAGCAGAAAGAGGCAGGAGCAGGGAACAAGAATTGGAAGGGGAAGGGGTTTGTAGAGTCAGGGCCATGAAGTGGCTCACCTCCAACGTGGGCCCCGTTCAGCCCCTTTGGGTGGCGGAGTCTGAACTAGGAGAAGCGGCCATGTGTGACCACAACCGAAGAACTGTGTCTGTCTGTTAAGCATCATAGCAGTGGGAACCCAGGCCCACCTACTAGGAGCACCCAGAGGTGAGCCTCACTCTCGGGAGAGGAACTTCTTCACCCGATCCTGAGAAAGCAGTGGTGGCTGTCATCATGGAAGCAAGGGTGTGCTTGGGTAGCCATCACCACAGAAGAAAGTGGAGGATGTGCCTCTGTCACCACAGGGAGCCATTGGAGACATGACAGAGGTGACAGCAGCACCAGCATCCACACTGGGCCCCTCAGCAGCCTCCACCCTGTTTTCCATGTGAGGAGCTGGGGCTGCCCCCTTGGCCCTAGTGGCTCCTGGCTTCTTGGGCTGCCTACAGGAGGCCAGGAGGAGCAACCCTGAAGCAGGGTAGGAAATGACACGTTGCCTACCTGCACAGGTTGGAGGTGGCTTTGCAGCTCATATACTAAACTTGGGGCACCTTCTGTTAGACCAGTATTCACACCCCAAATAGTGTATGCACAATTATGAATGACTTTAATGAAAATGAAGGTCCCTGCTGGCTGCCCTGGGAACATGTGCCCAACCTTGAACTGTGGCAGTTCACGCGCCTCCTGCCAGCCCTCCCCAGTCCTCACACTTGTGCTTCCAGAGCATAGCAGTCTGGCCAAGTGCAGATGGGGAGGGACAAAAACAGGAATGTCAACTTCCAGGGGCAGCTGACCTTAACCTTTTCATGAGCATATGTGCAATAGATTTAATGCAAGACTTTTACCCTACTTGGGAGAAGCAGTGTTAAAGAAGACATATAGAGGCTGTTTATGAAGAGGCAGTATCCATCTGCAAGTGAAAAAAAAAGATGAATTGGCCCATAACGCTTCTCTTGAGTTGTTCAAACCTACTGCAATACAAGTAATTAATTGTGAAAAAAAGAGTGATAGCTATTACTCAGTTACAATTTGCTAGGCATTGTGTAAGCACATTATTTGTGTCACCTTCTTTACTCCTTAGATACTATTGATAGCCTCAATTTACATGTGAGCAAACTTTGTGAGGCTTAAGTAAATTCCCAAAATCACACAGCTACTCTATTAAGTAGGTACTCTTATTATTCCCATTTTACAGACGCAGAAGTTGAGGCAAACCTGGGATTTGTATCTGGGTCCTCCTGGCTTCAGATCCCAAACTTCCAGCATCAGGATTCACTACCCCTCCGCAATGACCAACACAGAAGTGCGTAAAGGTGTGATGGTGTAAGTGACGGATCTTGGAGAAGAAGACAGAGGTGGAAGAGACATTTCCTTTATCACTGCACTTAAGGCCAGAGTTTCCAATGTGCAATTCTGAAAACATTATATTTTATAAAAAATAATACCCTGATCAAGAAATTGATAAAGTTTCAGGCCAGGCATGGTGACTCACGCCTATACTCCCGACATTTCAGGAGGCCAAGGTGGGAGGACTGCTTGAGCCCAGGAGTTCAAGACCATCTTGAACAACACAGCAAGCTCTCATCTCTACAAATAATTTTTAAAGTTAGCTGAGCATGGTGGAATGCACCTGTGGTCCCAGCTACTGAGGAGACTGAGGCGGGAGAATCAATTAAGTCCAGGAGGTCAAAGCTGCAGTGAGTCATGATCACATCATTGCACTCTAACCTTGGTGACAGAGTGAGACCCTGTTTCTAGGAGAAAAAAAAAGAAATTGATAAAGTTTTGAAAATAAGGAAAATTTTGATAGTGGTATATCATTAGTGTCAATGTTAGGATCAGAATAAAACTCCTCTAGAATAATAAAGTAATGAGTAAATAAAAGTGTTAAGGACTGGAGTGGATGTTACAGAGTGGTCACTAATTATACATTAGCCTAATGTACACTAGCCGAGGCGGAAATAGAAATGAAATAAATGTTCTAATTTAGGAGACAACACTTGGGCCGTTGATTGCCTCTGAAATATGTTATTGTTCTTCAGAAAAAAAAAAAAAAATCTCAGCAGGTGTAGATAAAGGTGACAAAAGGAAAACGTACTGGAAACAAGATTCAGGAATAATATCTACTTCACCCAAATCTAAAATATAGGAAAAATGTTTTCATAAAGTCACCCAAGTGCTCAGTGCATTTATAAAACACCCCCCGCAAACTTTAGCGATTTTCTAAAGAACTCTAGGGTTGAAACACGAACTGTAGCACTTGAAAATGAGCCTTAGCCAGAAACACCACCTTCACCCCTCCCCTCTCTTATTTTGTCTCTGTTTCATCCCTTCTCTCCCAAAACACAATCTTCACAATGGGGACATGCCTCCTCCATCACCCCCACCCTATCCATCTCTGGGTCAGAAATGTCTAGGCTGTTGCTAAGATACAATCATGGACACCAGTTGTTTTCTTGTCTGTCATCTTCTGTCCCTTCCTCCCAGTCTTCTGAAAACAGAACCATGCTCACTTGGCAGAAAGCCCTTAGAGTCAACCTGGGTGAGAGGACTGCCAGTCAAACCTGGCCACTTGACAAGCTTTGATCATCATAGCTCCCCACCCCCTTGACCACAGACATTAGTCCAAGGAGGAGGCACATAACCTAACATTAGAGTCTTTCCTGGGATTTCATACGTGGATGATAGGTGAAGGAGAAAACAGATTGAGATGGATTTTGGAAATGCCATCCATGAGGCTTGATGTGTGGATGGACAAGTCACGTAACCTCAATGAACTTGAGTTTTCTTCTCTTTACAATGAGGGACATGAACCAAAAGCTCTTGGAAGCACCTCCAAATTCAGTCTGAGGGTTCTGTGGGGCTTCACCTATGATTAGGTCAGTTCGTCTGGTCCAGTCATGCCCTTTCAGGGACGAGATACCTGGCAAAATTATGCATCTAGGGAAAATTTCTCTTTCATAAGCTCAGATACAAGGTTGTCCCCTTTGCCATCATTTTGCCCTTCTCCTTATCAAAATCTACTTTAGGTTCCCATTTAAACTAAGAAGTAAAATACAATAACTAATTTTATGTTATTGTATGATATAATAAACTAATGTAATGTACTCTTACATTATGACCTTTCACAGGAATATTTATATTTTATTTTATTTATTTATTGTAACAGAGATGGGGGGGTCTCACTATGTTGCCCAGGCTGATCCTTGAACTCCAGGGCTCAAGCAATTCTCCTGCCTCAGCCTCCCGAAGTGCTGGGATTACAGGCATGAGCCACCCAGCTCAGCCAGAATACCTACATTTTAAAAGAGAAGCAAAACTTTATGATGAACGATGCATGATGCAATAACTATCAACATCACAATTTCTTAAACTCATTCCAAGGTTCCCCCACATAGAAACATATACACAGTCTTCCTTCCCTTCACAGACTTTGGAAGGTCTGTGTGTGCTTGTGTGTGGTAGGTATTATGGAGGTATTATAGACTCAATGTGGGAGTGAGCAGATATATATGCGAATGTGTGTATGTGCATGTATGTGCATTTGTGTTTGTGTGTGTAAGTTTATGTATGTGTGTGAGTGTGCATGTATTTGTGTGTGAGTGTGTGTGCACACCTGTGTGTATATTGTATAGACGTGTGTGAGTATACATGCATGCGTGTATGTGTGTGAGCGTGTATATCCACATCTGTGGATGTGTGAGTGTATCTATGTGAGTGCAGGTGACTGCATGTGCCTGTGCATGTACTAAAAGAGCCAGTTAACTCTGGAGCTGCAGTTGCTGAAGGTGGGGCGGAGAGGAAAGCCCACAGTGCCAAGGAGTCAGGCCAGCTCAGGCTAATAGAGGGTGCTGGGGAGAGCGCAAGGCTTTCTCTCTCACCCTGGCACCAGTAAACTCTACACTGAAGCGGTTATAGCTGATGGAGCCACCAAGGCACAGTGGCCATGCCATGTGCCCAGTGCCCAGCTGTGGGCAGCAGAAGTGCCCCTCCAAGGAGGCCACAACTCCAGAGTTTCCCTGCGCTGCTGAAGGCCAGGAGCCACAGCCACAGGAAGGAAAGGACTTCCCAATGAATTATTTCTATGTCTTCATAGACAGAACCCAAGACAGCCTCAGAGCTACACACTTGCAGACAGCCCAGCTTCCAGGAGGGAAAGCCGTGGTCAGGCTGGTTTAGTATGACCCAATCTTTTCAGGGCACTCAAAGAATGGAGTGTCATTGTTTTCCCTCATCCTCTAGAAGCCCAAAGATAGAGCCCTACCAGCCCCCAGGGGAAAAAGTACCTGTTTTTCAGTTGCTAATTATTCCTGCCTGGGCTCAAATGGGAAGAATTCTGAGAAGAAAGGGGCCCTCCCCAGCGCTGACTGAACAGAGTCCTGAGGACTGGCTGAGGAGAGGGGAGGTAGAGAACCGTGGCTACGGGGGATCTGGACGGGAAAGGTACCCAAAGAGGGAAAGGGCTCCTTGTCTGGGGAACACAGAGGTAGGTAGGGGTGGCTGGGGGAGAACCTTGGGAGGCTCCCCTGCAGGGACGGTGCTCAAGAGCCCCTCAGGAGCCTCCTGGGGCCTGAGCAGGACTTGCCTGCACCCCACCCTCGTCAGACTGCTGCTGTGACTATCAGCAAGGACAATGCCCTACTGGGGCCACGAGACTTGCTCCATAGCCATCTGTTAGCCTGTGTTGAACACACTTCAACCCTGGGATGTCCCTGACCTTGAGGGAGGGGGTTGGTTCCTGGGCATCCTCAGCAGCTGGTGAAGTCCACATCACCTGTACTTGGAAGCCTCGGGAGCGTGGCCCCTGAGCTGGCTCAAGCACCTGAACAGCCCTGCTTCAGAGTTCTCAGAGGAGAAAGGGGCTCAGGATGTCAGGGGTGCCAGTCGTTTAATATGCTTCTTAACACGAAAGTGGCCTTACTTTGTACCCCAAGCTGGTAAAGCAGATATGCTAGTGGCACTGTGTGGCTGTCCCACTGGTTTGAAAGTATCCCCTCTCAAGCTGTGATCTGGATTTGAGGAGGAGAAGATTGCAGTACAGGGCTGGCCAGGGCCTCTGAGCCCCACCTCAGCATGTACGCATGCGCGCGCGCGCCACACGTGCGCACACACACACACACACACACACACACACACACACGCCCCTTCAGGATGTCACCACAGCTTTCTGAGCCTGGAGGTCGTGCCTCGCTGCCCCTTAGCATTTCACAAATAGGAACTCAGTTCTAGTTGAGCAGTGGTCAGGGCTCTGACATTTGTGGAATGGCCTCGGGTTTCCCCTCAGTCCCAACAGAGCTCCTGTTTCTGTTCCCTGCTGAGACCCCTGCATCAGCCCTGTGATCACACCAGCAGCTGCCCACACAGCCAACTCCTGCCTACCAGCTGTGTGGCTCCCCTAGGCAAAAAGTCCCTGTGCCATGGCCCGGTGGGCCCTTCAAGTCCAGCCTCCCAGGGTTCCTCTGGGCAGAGCGCTCAGTAACCATTTATTTTAGCTCCCATCCTGTGCCCCATGTTTTGTCAAGACAGTCTTTTCCCCGGTCGCGGTGAGTCCTCACCAGCCCTGGACGGTCTGAGGGTGGGTTTGTGCCTTTCCCAAAGCTGCCCATTGGCACCTTTCTCCTGTAACAAAGACCAAAAACCTTAGAAACCAGATGAAGCACAAACCCTGAGGTACCATAGAGCCAGCTGATTCATTAGTTTCAACATGCAACAATTACTTTCCTTTTCAGAGAGTCCTCTGTGGGTGTCCAGGTGTAGAATGAATCTCAAGAAGGTCCCTCCCAGAGGGAACCAGGAAAAAAATGGCTAATCTGGGAAGAGTCACAGACTAGATCTGCGGCGGGCAGACAGGCAGCAGATTCCTGGAGGGCCTGGGAATGAGCTGAGAACGAGGGAGCAGGACTGGCAGCCCACAGGACAGGATCCAGTCAGAGGCATTTGGTTTGGCTCAGGCAGTATTTTTATAAATTACGATAGCAGCATCTGAAAGTTAGAAGTTTTCACATAAAAGTCTAGATTTGCGCCAGCTTTTCTTGAAAAAGCAGAGACGCTGGCAGCTGGGCCTATATCATGGTAACTCCCACATGGAATGAGGCCAGGGTTGCCCCCAAGTCCCCTTGGGTCTGCCCACCACCCCTATTATGCACAGCTGCTCTTGCCTAGCTTGCCTCTGACCCTTAGCTCTGCAGGTCAAGGAACCCAGCTTTCCTGAGGGCAGGGCAGCCTTGGCAGGAGTTTAACAAGGAGCCCTCCAGAAGTTGCCCGTGGTAAACCTGCAGGGGCTGAATCTTCAGGTGGGATCTGACGTCTAGAGAAGGTCCTTCCTCATCCAGAATGGCGAGATGGGAATCAGCCCGGACAGCACCACTCCAAAGTGCTGGGAGTCCCACGATCCCATGGGGAGCCAGCCAGTCCACATCAGGGGAGCTCAGCACATGTCCAAGGTCATCTGAGAAGGGCTCCCAAGACAAGGAGGGCTTTGGGAGACTTCTGGGAATGTTAATCATCTTCATGTTTCCTCTTAGTGGTTAACAGTAAATGTCTTTGAACAAAACATGTCCTGTGAATTTGTTCAGGGGGCAACAAAGAGGACAAGGTGGGGAGACTGAGTACTCCGTAGTCAGCCTTACAAGGGAAGGAAACTCCAACTCCAAAAGATAGAGAAGTGAGAGTGAGTTTAGATCTGGAACCAAGAGCTGATCTGCTGAACCTACCAAGGCCTTAGTTACTCCTGCTCTTGCACTGTGAGCCAAAGAGGTTGCTCACGCAGTGGTATTGCTGGAGCCGGGTCCTACTGGTTTACAAAAGCTGATTGGGCTCACCTCCTCCCAACTGCACAGTGACTTCATATTGAGAGCTAGAAGTCAGCCACCATGGGAATATTGACACTGCAGAAATGGGCAAATGCTACAAATCAGAGCTCCCCCAACCTCACCCCCAGCCCCAGGGCAGACTGTTACATGTTTGCCTGCACACCACTGCTGGGTCTGCTGTGGACCACTGGCAGATCAGGCCCAAGACGTGCTTCTGGGCACAGGTCATACCCCAGGAAGAGAAGCTTTCAAACTCAACATGCACCCACATGTCCCAAACTGGAAATAAACCAGGCCGGCAGTAAGCTAAACCAAAACTCAGCAGGAGTTCTCAGTTGTGCTTAACCGGCACTGGCTTCCTCTTTTTTTTTCTGATTGTTTCTCCAGAGACTCCAGGCCTGAGGAGGGGCTTTCTTGTCTCTGAGGTGAATTTTCTTTATTTTCTCTGAGCTAAATTCACACAGAAGGAGAAGGGTTGGGGCTAAAGTTCATGTTGTCACAAAACCCATCCAAAGTATTAGCTGAGCATCTTTCCACCTCCCTGGAGAGCTGACCACTTGACCCACATCCAGGAAGGGCTTTGCATTGCAGAAAGCATCCACAAGGCGTGTGGAATGGTGGAAGGAGGAGTTGGAAAGGCGGAAAGGAGCACTTTCTCAATAATCCTAATTTTCTCTTCCTGGATGGCCTTGGAAACCTCCTTCACTCTCCTCCAGCCAGCCTAAGGGCCACATCCATGGTTGTACCATCAGTTATGGATGTTCTTCTCAAATACCCTAATTCTTTCCTTCTGTCATGCCCTTGATCCAGCTAGAGCTGCTCTGCAGCATCACAGACAGTGCCAGAGCCTCCTGGTAGGGAAGTGAAAGTTGACCTCCACCAGTTGTCAGCTCCTTCCCTTCGCCTGTTTTCCCCTGGACCACATCATCCAGCTGAACCTTGGTAATTATCCACTCAAGAAAATAAAGTGATACAGGAAACAAATGTAACTGTAGTATGTGGCAAGGCTGAGAGCAAAAGTTACATAATCATAATTCTGTGAATATTTGAAAGTCAATTTAACCAAAAATCGTCAAACAACCAACATAGGAGGCAACAAGATATCCAGACCCCACTGGGATCACCATGGGAAAATCGCTGGGCGACAACCCAGCTGACACGGCGCTCAGCCAATGAAACAGCAATTTCCTTTCCCAGGTTCACCAACGACTTTTTTTTTTTCTTTTAATTGAGACACGGTCTCACTCTGTCACCTAGGCTGCAGTGCAGTGGCACAATCTGGGCTCACTATTGCCTCAAACTCCTGGGCTAAAGTGATCCTCCTGCCTCAGCCTCCTGAGTAGCTGGGACCACAGGCACACACCACCATGCCCAGCTAATTTTTTTTCTTTTTTGTAGAGTTGGGGTCTCACTATGTTGTCCAGGCTGGTCTCGAACTCCTGGGCTCAAGTAATCCTCCCACCTCAGCCTCCCAAAATGCTGGACTTAACAGGCATGAGCCACTGCACCTAGCCACCTACTGGCTCTTTATTTTTTTTGAGACAGAGTTTCACTCTTGTTGCCCATGCTGGAGTGCAATGGCGTGATCTCGGCTCACCGCAACCTCCGCCTCCTGGCTTCAAATGATTCTCCTGCCTCAGCCTACCAAGAGCTAGGATTACAGGCATGCACCACCATGCCCAACTAATTTTGTATTTTTAGTAGAGACGAGGTTTCTCCATGTTGGTCAGGCTGGTCTCGATCTCCCAACCTCAGGTGATCCACCCGCCTTGGCCTCCCAAAGTGCTGGGATTACAGGCGTGAGCCACTGCGTCTGGCCCTACTGACTATTCTTAGGAGGACAGCTCTTTCCTCCTGGGGCCACCTTGCTGGATCCAGCTCCCAGCTGTCAGGGTCGCCTGAGGATCCATCCCCTCTTGCTCCCCACTCGCCTTTCCTCTGACTTCTCTCCAGTTCACCTACCCTTCTTAGGATTTTTCTTTTTCTATCCTGTCTTCTCAAGTCCATCCTTCCAGATCAAGGATGGACCCAGAGAATAAAGGAACGCCAAGTGCCAGGGGAGGCCTGGGCAAGCCACAGGCACAGGGTACCAGCTACAGCTGTTGCGGTAAACTGAGGACCAGAGAGACAGATATGGAAACACAGGAGGATGTTTATTTTAAGGTAGGCACTGGCTCAGTGAATTCACATCCAAAAAGCTGAGCATTGAACAAAGACTGAGCAGGATTTTTATAAGCAGGCTTACAGAAGCAAAACAGAGGCAGTTCATCATATAATGACAGGTCACATAATCTATAGCATAACTGATGACTTGGCATAACTTGTGTCTTTGCATAGCTGGTGGCCTTGTAGCTGTGTGGAAAGAAAAAAACAAGAACTGGCTAAATACAGACAGACATTTGTCCATTTTTTTTCCCCTTCATCATTGCTCCAGACAGGGGATGTCTGGAGCCTATCCCTTTGGTTTCGACTTCTCGAACAGCGTTATCTTATAACTGTCTTTGAAGTGAGCTTGCTAGGCAGAGGAAAACTTGTTCTTCCTTTCTTTTTAACTTTTGCCTTGTCACATTCTGGGCCTTGGCTTTTACTTCTCAGACTAGGTCACTATGACCTTCTTATAGCCTTGTCTGTTACTTTTCTTGGAGTGAATGAATGTAGTACTTCTTCTTATTATTATTTTTAAATTTCTGCCTCACAGCAACGGCTGTGGCCCAGGGCTGAAAATGAGTGCTGCCAGATCTTCCCACTTATCTGGGGATGGCAACCAATTCAAATATCTTTGCTTAGACCCAGAGCCTGAATCAATAAAAAAAAAACTGGTTCCAGCTGGGCACAGTTCCTCATGCCTGTAAATCCCAGCACTTTGGGAGGCTAAGGCAGGTAGATCAGCCAAGGTCAGGAGTTTGAGACCAGCCTGGCCAACATGATGAAACCCTGTCTCTACTAAAAATACAAAAATTAGCCGGGCGTAGTAGCAAGCGCCTGTAATCCCAGCTACTTGGGAGGCTGAGGCAGGAGAATCGCTTAAACCCGGGAGGTAGAGGTTGCAGTGAGCCGAGATGGTGCCACTGCACTCCTGGGCAACAAGAGTGAGACTCTGTCTAAAAAAAAGAAAAAAAAACTGGTTCCCCCCAGTCCTTGAGGATGTTTAATTCAAACCTTTGCAGGAGGTGAGGAGAAATATTTATATTCCAGTCTTCTTCTAGGGCAACAAAATACAGAGGGTGAACCAAATCTTTTAAATTTCCGCATTAAATCAGTTTCATCTTTCGGAATCTGCCAAAATTTCATAATCATCACAACTATTATTATCATCATCATCATTGTTATGATTCCACCTTTGCACAGGTCTGATTTTTTTTTTTTTTTTTTTTTCTGAGACAGGGTCTCACTCGGCCTTCCAAAATGCTGAGATTACAGCTATGAGCCACCGCATGAGGCCTGATCTTTAGAGCATGCTTTTATTTTAGTCAATTTAAAACTGGGACTTTTTTTTGTTTTTTTGGAGGTGGGTCTCGCTCTGTCGCCCAGGCTGGAGTGCAGTGGCACGATCTCGGCTCACTGCAAGCCAGCCGCCTCCCAGGTTCACGCCATTCTCCTGCCTCAGGCTGCCCGAGTCAAGACTGGGAACTTAAGGCGCACCCACACCATCGCCCAGTGTAATTTTTTGTATTTTTAGTAGAGACGGGTTTCCCGGGTTGACCAGGATGGGTCTCCATCTGCTGACTCGTGATCAACCCATCCTTGGCCTTCCCGAGAGTGCTGGGATTACAGGCTTGAGCCGACCGCACTCTGGGCTGCTAAAACTGGGACTTTTTTTCTTATTGAAAATTGGCAGTTTAAATTCCAATAGAAGGACACAACGCACACCAAATAAAGCTCTACGCCTTGCAGATGTTGGCTGAGTTGTCTCTCTG